GTGGGTCCATTTCTGGGTTCTCTATTCTGTTCCATTGATCTGAGTGTCTGTTTTGTGCCAGTACCATACTGTCTTGAGGATTACAGCTTTGTAATACAGCTTGAAGTCTGGGATTGCGATGCCTCCTACTAGACTATATTCTTTATAATAAAACTTTGGTCATAAATATAATACTTTGCTGACTTCTATGAATCATTCTAATCAATTACTGTACCTGAGTGAGGATCATGGGAATGTCTCAATTTGTGGTCTGCTGGGCAGAAGTGCAGTGCCTTGGGGATACCCAAGACTTGGAGCTGCTATCTGAAATAGGGCAGTCTTGTAAGACTGAGCCTCTAAACCTGTGGGGTTCTTTGTTAACTCTGGGTAATTATGTCAGAATTCAATTAAATTGTAGGACACTCAGTTGGTGTCCAAAAACTGGCGGTTATTGGAAAATGATACACATTTCCATCCCATAGGAGAATTTAGGTTATTTCTCCTTCATCTTAGACCAACCAAGGGGGGTCCTTTAGACTCCAGGATCCAAAATGGAATGATGAGACTGTTTAGAAGAATTTTTGTTGTGTTTTCTAGAGTTTAGAGGGCAAAGACTGTTTTGGACCAGATGTAGACCAATGGAGGGACAATGTGTCTCCCAATAAAAGCAGTAGATCACAGACTGCCCAAGTATAAGACAGGTATTATTTTTCTTTTTTTTTTTTTCTTTTTTCTTTTCTTTCTTTTCTTTCTTTTTTTTTCATCGTTTATTTATTTTTTTGGGACAGAGAGAGACAGAGCATGAATGGGGGAGGGGCAGAGAGAGAAGGAGACACAGAATCGGAAGCAGGCTCCAGGCTCTGAGCCATCAGCCCAGAGCCCGACGCGGGGCTTGAACTCACGGACCGTGAGATCGTGACCTGGCTGAAGTCGGACGCTTAACCGACTGCGCCACCCAGGCGCCCCAAGACAGGTATTATTAAGCAGCCATTTCAAGGAGATGTGTTGCCCACATCACAGGGAAGTACAATTAGAGATTTCCAGCAGGAATTTCTCCCAAAATCCCACAAAAGTACCCCATAGAAAATGAGTCAGTGCTAAACATCCATAAAAGGAAGAGACACCAAGATCAAAACAATAGCAACACTCAAGTAAGACTTTTCTCCTTACCTCCTCTTCCCTACCCATTGCAACCTCATAGGAGCCAGAAACTGCCTACTGGGTGGGAGAAAAGAAATTTAGGTTAAAGAAACGAAGAAGTTTAGCGTATGCCCTTTTTCACACTGTAAGCTTCTAGCTTACAGCAAGGCTGAACTCAAAGAAAAGGCTTTAAATGAAACTTACATATTATTACATTCAACTGGAGATTGTAATTAGCAAAGTGAGACTGACCTTGTCACTAAAAACAACTTGGTAAAGGATACCAAGGAGTGATCAAATCAATTACAGGGACTGCACAAGTTTTTGACCAGGGCAACAACAACAACAAAAATTAGCACACAGAGACAGTTGAGAGTAGAAATTATGAAAAAAGAATTATTTTGCTTACTTCCTACGGAGTCCTGCTTATTTCAAAGTTATGGTTATAAACTGATTTGGTTTTCCAGGTACACATTCATATCATCTGCATAGTGATAATCTTATATCCTCTTTTCTAATTTTTAACCTACTTTTTTCTCTTGTTAAAGTGCTTTGGTTAATAACAAGAGAACAAAGTTAAATAACACTGGTGATGGTGTATATCCTTGTCTTTTTTCTGATTTTACTAGGAATAGTTCAAATATTTCCTGATTAAACATTAGGTTAAAAAAATAAGGGTGCCTGTCTGGCTTAGTCAGTACAGCATGCAACTATTGATCTGGGGGTTGTAGGTTCAAGCCCCACATTGGGTGTAGAAATTACTTAAAAATAAAATCTTAAAAAAAAATTATCTTTCTGTATTATTCTACCACCCTAGAGTTATTCCCATTAATAATGGGCAACAATTCCCATTAATAATGGGCAACAATCTTCACTATAGCAAGCATAATTAGAGGCTGATGGGAGAGGGTAACCTGATATTCTGGGTTTTGGCACAGGAGAATGGATTGAAAATACTAAGCCATCTTCTAAAGAAACTCAGATAGAAAGGTCTTAAACTGAATAGATTTTGGGCAATGGATTCTTAACCTGATTTCCTTTGCCTCTGTACCAAACACACATATTTAAAAAATTGAGAGTAGACCCACCTAGTTCCAAATTTATACTTCAAGAAAATTCTACATACTGAGTTCTCTACTTCAGTACATCCTAATTTTCACATAAGAGAATCATAAGGTGAATGGATAGCCTTATGATTTATAGAGTTCCCCAAGATTAGAAGTGTTAAAATACAACAGAATAAACATATTTTTACTACCAGCTGGGGAAAGGATCCTAAAACTCTAGCTATCTGACATGCCCTCCACCCCTCCTGAGACCAGGCAAGGTTTTTTTGCTTAACAGTGCTTTGATTTGAACTATATGTAACAACTCTCAAAACCAGAAAGAGATTAAGAGACAAAAAAAAAGGTAATGATAAGAAATTTCAACCTAAGTTTAATTAGAGCCTGAGAAGGGAGAAGAAAGAGATAATAAGGCAGGGGCAATCTTTGAAGGTGGCTGAGAATTTTCTTAATAAACTAATAAAAATCACCTATTCACAAATTCAAAAAATGCTACAAATTCCAAGCAGATACAAGTTTTAAAAGGCACATTTAGACACATTATACTAAAATTACAGAAAACCAAAAACTGGGATAAAGTCTTAAAAACAGCCAGAGGAAGAAAAGCCAAAATACCTTCAAAGGAGAGAAAAGCTAGAATAATTAAGACTGTGATATTGTGATAGAGCAAAAGAACAAGGAGGACAAACAGTGTATGTCCCATGTACATAAGAACACTGGATATTTATATATATTTGGATATATCTGAAACGAGAACATAATGGACTAATATATGGTACTGAGAGAGCTAGAGAAGAATTCATAAGGGGGAAAAGAACCACAGGCTCCACTTTATGCCATATACAAAAGCCAGAAGTGCATTAAATGTATAAATAGGAGAGGCAAAACCTTTTTTTAAAGATTTTACACCCAACTCACAGCCCCAAGATCGAGAGCCACACATCCCACTGACTAAGCCAGCCAGGCACCCCAGAAAGGCAAAGCTTATAGCTTTAAGCATAAATATAAAAGAATATTTGCATAACCTTGGGACAAGAAAGGATTTCTTAAAATACAAAAAGCACCAACCATAAAGAAAAAAATTGTTAAATTTGACTATGTTAAAGTTAGGACTTCTTTTCATAAAACCACCTTAAAGGAAGCGTTAAAACAATCTAAATAGTAGTAAAATATAATCAATGAAGGACCCATATCCACATTATATGAAGAACTCCTATGAATCAACAAGAGACAATCCAAGAGCAAAAATAGGTAAAAGATTCTAATCAGGCAGGTCACAAAAGAAGAAACCCTAATAACCAATAAACATATGAAACAGTGTTTCATCTCATTATTAATCATGGGAGTCCAATTTCAAATCTGTGTGTGTATGTGTAAATATTTAAAGATTTCAAAGTCTGACATAACTGATCTGAAAAAAAAGGACCAGAACTCATTCATACAAAGAAATAAATATCTTTGAAAAATAGTATTCACAAAGACAATCTGACAACACAGGAGAATGACACTTTTTAGTGAAAATGTAGGACATAATATGGTAAATGAAGTATAATTTGATTTTGTAAAAATAATAAAAATTCATCAAAATATTAACTAGTTATTTGAGTGATTACATTTTATTTTTTCTTGGTAATTCTGTTGTTTTCAAAATCTCTACAGTAATCATGCTTTTATTTTAAAATCATAATATTGAATTTATAAAGAAGAAAACAACAAACACAAGTAGAGCCATTTTCCAAATAAGTGAACATTAAGTATTTGGTGCTGTTGGGCTTTAATACCAGGCTGGACTATCTTTTCCTCTAATAGGGAAATTACAGCGATTTATAATCAAATGGCATAACTTTATTAAACATTTAACTTTCAAAAGAAAGAAAGCAAAGAGGAAACCTCAACACACCTTGGACATTGCTTGCAGAAGTTCATTTTGCATTCTTTCCTTCTCTTCTGCACCTGGATAAGGGTAGAACTGAGAGAGGAAAAATTGTAAAACACCAGGTTTTACTTGTTTCCCAAACTAGTCTGGTCAGAGGTCAGCCCAAGCCCCAGCCCCAGCACCCAACACACAGGGAATGGAGATCAGAGGAGAATAAGGCATCCTGCCCAACCCCGGTGTGTCAGGAAAAAGCTGAGGTCACTGCTGTCAAGAGACTATAATCTGACTAAACTTCACAGAGGTTCCCCGGGGACAGAGTTCTGGAGTTACAATCTTACACATGGAAGGAGCCCCATAACCAGACACACTGCCGCCACACACTGGGCATGGTCATACTTAAATCAATGGGATACGCAGCCCACAGCCGCACACACAGAGCCACACAGGGTAACACAGTTATAATCACATTCCCATCACTGAACACGTAACAGTTACTCTCGTACAGTCGCAGGGTCACAGTCATACACCACCATAGGGACACACGCAGCAGCAACCCCACAATGATAGACAACTGATATCTGCACACAGGTCTCAGTGTCACAATCTCACAGACGATCCCACAACCTCCCCTTTTCATGCAGCTCCGCTCGCACAGACAGGACCCAATTCCGTACCTGCCTCCGGTCTCCTCAACTTAGGCCTTTCGGGTCTCCCGGGGTTGCAACCTGCATAGCCGAGCCTGTTCCCCCGGGACCCACGGACCCTCACCTCATGGATCTAACGGTCCCGCCAGACGTGACGAAACGTTCCAGTTCCTGCGAGAAGAGCGACCGGCCACCCGGCCCTCTGGGAAATGTGGTCCAAAGCTGGACCCACAGCCAATTCCTCTCGGCGCCCTGCCTGGCCCTTCCCGAAACGACTGTAACTGCAATTCTCGGCGTCTAGCCGAGTCTCAGGGTTGAGAGGCACTGTAGCTTGGCAGGCTCCCGCCGGCCCTCGAGCGCGCACCTGGCCCGCGCCCCCTCCCTCACACAGGAAACTCAGACTGCGTTCTGGCCGGAAGTTGAATCGGGCCGCGAAGCCTTCTGGGAGGTGTTGTTGTGCTCAGAAACGTCCGTTGGGAGGCGGGCGCGAAGGGATGGTTCAGCCTTGCCGGCGCCTGGCCTGGACCTTTCTTGTGGGTCGCTTTCACCCAGCCTCCCACATACTGCGCTGTGGATGCGCATTCGGGCGTTTCCAGCAGGTGACGCTACCGCGTCCCCGCGGCGGGGCATGGGGGAGGGGTTTGAGGTGTCTGGGCTGCTCAGTTGCGTTGCTCACGGGGCGGGGCCTCTGAGGAGGCCCTGCGCGTCTGGAGTGGCAGCGGTGCAAAGTGCCCGGGGTTGGGAAGTACGCGCCTGTCGGGTGGTTGGAGTTATTGGAACAAGAAACTGTGGTGGGAGTCAGTGTGTGTGTGCGTGTGTGTGTGTGACTGTGGTGATGTGTGTGAGAGTAAGGGGGCGTGGTTGCGTGTGAGTGTAATGGAGTAATTGTGATGGGACATATGATTGTGGTGTTGTGGTTGTGTGTGGCGGTAGGGTGTTTGTGTGGTTCTCGGAGAAGGTCGATGGTGAGGTTTTTGTGATGTGTAGTGGTTCTTGTCTTATTTGAGTTGACTTCGGTGTAGCGTTTGTCATGGTTGGTAACTGCTTGGAAAAAAAATCTGTATAAATTTTTTTTGTATTTGGTTTTAAGCAGTCCTCCCTGCCCTCCTTGGCCACTCCTTAGTCTCCTTTGCTGTCTTTTTTTCCCTGGAAGTTCTTGGCTCTTTTCTGCTGCTTTCCAGTTTTCCTGTCGACCTTTTCCAGGTTCATTATCTCAACATCATATGGCTTGCTTCTTATCATATGTATAATTTAGCTATTGTTATGATAATAATGCTGCCTAACAAACTACCCCTAAACTCAGTGACGAACTACAGCAAGCATTTATTCTCATGGTCACCTGTTCACAGGTTTTCTGTGTTGAGTTTACTTAGGCTGGGGTTGGCTGGACTGCAGTATGGATTTAGATCTGCTCCACATGTGTTCTTTCTGCTGCTCAGGCTAAAAGGACAGTGGTTAACCATGACATGTTCTCCTCATTATGAATCACCAGAGCCCAAGACAGATCATACAAACACCCTTAAAAACCTCTGCTCCTAAATATGCTAATAATACGTTAGTCAAAGCAAGCCACATGGCTAAGCTTAATGTCAGTTACACCCAAAATGGGAGCACAAGGCAAAGTTACATGGTGAAGAGTGAATATTAGTGGGGGGGGGGGGGGGGGGGGGGGGGTTTGAGAAATATAGACCAAGATTCTAATCTACCACATTACAAAACATGTCTCTTTATCCTGGTGAATGCCTTTTAGTCCAAGTTCTCTTTTGTCTGATAATATTCCTTTTCAGGTTTTGTTACTGTATTACCCAGGAATTTCATTTTCCAACCCCTTCTTTTTATGTTTTTATGCTTCAGATCTCTTGTAAAGAGTATATTGCTGGGCTTTTTACTCTTTTATCCTGTGTGAATGTTGTTTTAATAGGTGAGTTTAATTCATTTGCATTTATTGGCATTGCTGATATAAATTTGTTTTTTACTTATTGCGACTTTTTTATTGTGCACATTTACCTTATTCCCCTTTCCCTCTTCAGTGCTTTGGTTTCTGTTCTTTTCCTTGAATTTTTAATACGCACACATAGCAAAATCCCCACTTAAGATTTTCAAACACTTGAACTCCAAACTACCCACTCATTTCTATGTTATTCTTGTCTAATGTATTACTTTCTTCTGACTTTAAATGCCCCGTTAGTAGAGTTCATTTGTTAAATACATATTTATGTGTATATATATATGTGTGTGTGTGTATGTATATATAAAAATGTGTACATATGTGTTTTTATATATATGTGTACATATATTTTTAAATTTTGATAAAATAGAGATAACATAGCACATAACATAAAATTTACCATCTTAATATCCGCACCCCCATTTTAATTGCAGCATTATTTACAATAGCCAAGATAGGGAAACATTCATCGACAGATAAACAGGTACAGAAAATGTGGCATATATATACAATGGAATATTATCCAAAGAAGGAAAACCTGCCATTTGTGACCACATGGATGAACCTGGAGAACAATTACGCTATGTGAAATAAGCCAGTAGCAGGACAAGTACTACATAATTCCGTTTGTATGACATATATAAAACAGATTCAAGAAGCATGAGAAGAGAAAAATGGTTGCCAGAGCTTGGGAGTAGAGGGAAATGGAGAATTGTTGTTCTGTGGGTATAAAGTTTCTGTTGTGCAAGATGAATAAGTTCTAGAGATCAGTACAACATAGAACCTATATTAACAAAGCAGTATTATGAACTTTGTTAAAAGTATAGATTTCATGTTAATTATTCTTATAGAAACAAAACACAAAAGAACACGAAATTTTTAGAGGTAATAGATATGTTTAGTACTTTGGTTATGGAATTGGTACTGGATATATGCATTTGTCCAAACTCACCAGGATGTATATGTTAAATGTGTGCAATTTTTTGTGTATTAATTATACTTCAATAAAGCTAAAAACATTTAACATTTTAATCATTTTTAAATGTTGAGTCCAATGGCATTACATTCATATTGCTATAACACTATCACCATCCGTCCATCCATCCATCCATAGAACTCTTCATCTTGCAAGACTTTATACCCATTAAACAATAATTCCCCATTCCTTGGATTCCCCAGTCTGAGCTACTATTCTACTTTCTGTCTATATGAATTTGACTTAGTACCTTATATAGTTTGGATCATACAGTATTTGTCTTTTTGTGACTGGTTTAACTTGGCATAATGTCCTCAAGATTCATCCATGTTAAAGCATGTATCAGAATTTCCTTCCTTCTTAAGGCTAAGGTTCCACTGTATGCACCACATTTTGTTTATCCATTCATCTGTCAGCACATTCTTTGGTTGCTTCCACCTTTTGACTATTGCAGATAATGCTGCCGTAAACATGGGTGTACAAGTCCCTGCTTTCAGGTTTTTTGGGTACATCCCCAGAAGTGGAATTTTAGGATCATATGGTAATTCTGTTTTTCATTTTTTGACTGCCATACTGTTTTCCATAGTAGCTACACCATTAAAAAAAAAATTTTTTTTAATGTTTATTTTGGGAGGGGGGAAGAGACAGAGTGTGGCAGAGAGAGAGGGAGACATAGAATCTGAAGCAGGCTCCAGGCTCTGAGCTGTCAGCACAGAGCCTGATACGGGGCTCAAACCCATGAACCGTGAGATCATGATGAGCTGAAGTCAGCCACTCAACTAACTGAGCCACCCAGGCACACTGTGGCTACACCATTTAAAAAATTTTTAAATGTTTTTTAAATTTATTTTAGAGAGCAAGCAGGGGAGAAGAGAAGAGAGAGAGACACAGAAACCAAAGCAGGCTCCAGGCTCTGAGCTGTCAGCACAAAGCCTGATGCGGGGCTCAAACCCATGAACCGTGAGATCATGACCTGAGCTGAAGTCGGACGCTTAACTGATTGGGCCACCCAGGTGCCCTGACACCATTTTTTTTTTAAATTTTTTTTTAATGTTTATTTATTTTTGAGACAGAGAGAGACAGAGCATGAATGGGGGAGGGGCAGAGAGAGGGAGACACAGAATCAGAAGCAGGCTCCAGGCTCTGAGCCATCATCCCAGAGCCTGACGCGGGGCTCGAACTTACGGACCTCGAGATCGTGACCCGGGCTGAAGTCAGACGCTTAACCGACTGAGCCACCCAGGCGCCCCGCCCTGACACCATTTTAATGAACATTTTTTTGAGCACCTATCATCAATGGCAAAAACAGATAAAATAAATCCCTGTTTTCATGGAGTTTATATGAGGGGGTACACAGACAATATGTATGATAAATAAATTATATAGTTTGTTAGTGATAATTGCTATGGGGAAAAAATAGAAACTGTGTGACAGATATTAGGATATTAGATATTAGGATATCTCAAAATTATTGTAATTGAACGTTACTGTTTTATTTTGTTCTGTTATACAGTGCAAGGATTATTCTGTTGCATATTATTATTTTACTTTTTACCTACTAAAGGCTCAAAGCAGATGATAATATTTCTTAACTTGGCCATTTTATTCATCCAATATCATTGTGATGTGAGTATAATTCTCATTTCAGATGAAGAGTATTGGAATTCTAAATTGCAACTCTTTTACCTCAGTTGCAAAGATAAATGGGAAATGGAATAGCTGCAGCTCTCTTTTACTCCGAATCTAGAGTTGCTGCAAAGCTGTCTTTTTTTACTCACCTTTGTATTTGTCTCTGCACAGGGTCTGCACCTTTATGTTCACAGAAGATATTTGAAGAGCAGACACTATGTGAACATCACTGTGGTGTTTACCTTGTTTATCTATAGTCTTGGTGTTTCTCCTGAGCACTTGGTTCAACCTAGGTTGCTAAGTCTTTGGGTTTTCCTCCAGATTTCTGCTGTCTCTGGATCCAGCCTCTCTGGTCAGTGATTCCAATGAATGTGAATTATAAGCAAGGAAGTTAATTGTTTGGGGCTGTATTAGTTATCTACTATTGTGTAACAAGTTACCTTAAAATTTAGTGGTTTAAACAACAGGAAATATTGTCTCACTTTCTGTGGGGAATGAGGAACAATTTATCTGGATACTGTGGCTCAGATATTTCATGAAGCCGCAGTCAAGATGTTGACAAAGCTGCAGTCTTTGGAAGACTAGATTAGAGGTGGAGGATTTGCCTCCTAGGTGGCTGGCAAGCTAGTGTTAGCTGAGGGCAGGAGCCTCTCCCTATCGGTGGTTGAGTGTCTTCATGGAATGGTGGCTGGCTTCTCTCAAAGTGCATGGTTCAAAAATGTACAATATAAAAACCACAATGTCATATATTGCTTAATTTCGGAAGTCACACACTGTCATTTCTGCAACATCCTATTGGTTAAACAGATCGACTCTATTCAGCATGGGAAGGGTGTACAAAAAACATGAATACCATAAGGCAGTGATCATTAGGAGCCATCTTGGAGGCTGGTTACCATAGGGATCTAGTGAGAAAAAACAAGTAAATTGGATTTGTATCATAAGTCCACAGGTCCTCCCTCCACAAAGATAAGACAGATCTGTGATATAACTAAAAGGAAGCCTGGAGGACAGGTATCCATCATGGAAGGAGACCTTCTGACCTGAGACCTCTCCTGGAGGCTGGAGAGTCCTGAGATAGAGTGGACCCTGGAATTGCTGGATCTGCAGCTTATTTTAACCCTTCTGCCCTGAGTGGGCAAAGCCTGAATGACTTCTCAACCTTGAGACATCAGCAGTAGCTGTGTGACAGTGGAGCGTTTTACCTAGATGATGGAAAGGAGAGGTGAGGTGGTTCAGAGATGAGCAGAGTTTAGGAGAGAAAGGCTGTACATTGAGGGGCAGAAAGAGTAAAAAGAGTTAGGAAATTCAGTACTCCTAACAAGAAAGTTCATATTGGTGATAATTGACTGTGCAGGGTAGACATTTGTTTTTTATTTATTCACTTGATTTTTTTAAATAAGTATTTTAAATGTAATTTCTATCTCTCTTACATTTAGATTTTTTTGTAAAGGGCTGTCAAATATATAACCATAAGCAAAATTTCCTACTCTATCCTTTCTCATCCCTTGATCCCACTCCCTAGAAGCAACCATTTTGAACATTTTTGTGTTCAGTTCCACTTTCCTGAATAACATCCTCATACAGCTCATGCTTGATTTCTCAGTTTTAGATATTTCCTGGTGACTTTTGACAATGGCGATAGGGATTTATCTCTGTTTTCTACCTAACCTCTTTCTTGTCTTCCTCATCTACCCTTCCCCCATTCACCTTCTCCTAGTCCTTCTTTCTAATATGGTGTTATTAGAGGTTGAAGGTTGACGAGATGCCAGGATATGCATCTATTTTGGGGTGGGGGGGGTGGGCTGGTCAGTTTTCCCAGCAAGAAGTCCTAGATTTTGCTTGAGGAGTATAAGCCAGAAATGCTTTGGGAAGGCAAATAAGGGTAGGAAGTGGTGAGAGGGGAGAGGGAGGATACCTCATCTTTCAACATTACAACTTTCACTTTAATTCCCTTATTTTCTCTACATTGCTCCTGTTCCCATCCCTGCATTTGGTTCCCATCCCATACTCCTGGTACCTAGTGCCCCATTCCTAAGCCTTTCAAGGGTTCTGCCATGGTTTCCCCACCCTTCCCCCACCCTCACTTAAGCTGCAGCTTTCTCTAGTTAATTAGATAACAGTCATCTGTCTCTAGCTTCCAAAATTTTGTTGATATCTCTTATCTGCTGAAGTCTCTATATCCTTTATCCTTGTGAAATTCAGCTTCCTTTGTTCCTTTACTTTCATCATGGTTGGGTTTGGAAGAGGGCAGAAGTAAATGCAAATATGCACTCTTCTATGAGTTTTTTAGATTAAAATTTAAATTAAATTGTTTGAAAATATCATTAGAATCATGATCGCATTTTATTTTTTCCATCATAAGAATGTTTCACAATGCCTATAACTTGTCTCTGATGAAAGTTTCCCACGTTATTTGCAGTGCTTCATAAATTATATAATTTTTTAATCTTTGTAGTATTTATTAGTATGTACTTGAAATAAATTTCCTAGTAAGAATAAAATAACAGGTTCCTAGGGAAAAGCTATATTGTCAATAAATTCATTGGGCACCCTGTACTTAGCCTTTCATAAATTCCCATTGGACCCTGTATGATTACATTAGTCTTTCATGTACATTTCAGCATCTCTATAGCCTAGTGGTCACTAACATTTCTCAGTGCTTTGAGGATCATTATAGATGATATTATAGCCACCTGGTACTGAAGATTTCTATAGTCCTTTGTCTGGAGCTCTGAAGTAAATTTGCTTTATTTCTCTTCCCTCAGCTTGGCATTCTCAGGACTCTGACCTTTTGGAGGAAGAAGACGATATGACCAGGTCTCTTGTACGTTTTAAGCATTTATTTGTTTCCTGTATTATTTTACAATGCAGTAGTAGTGGGTTACCTTAACATACCAGTATATTGGAAAAAAACTAAATTGATGAAAATTAAGGTAAGGAAAAATACAGATGGAAGATCAGAACCAGGTAAAATTTGGGATACGGCTATACAGAAACAGGCCCATACAAAGTTATTAAAGTTGAGTTCAATTTGAATATGAGTGGGAGAAACAAAAGCAAACTGTGACACAAAGTTTATTCCATAATTTGCACTGTTTATGAGGAAAAAGCTATTAAGGAAGGAAGGAAAGAGAAAGCTTTTCATTGGCACCATCATTCTTATACTTTTAAGCTTAGATTTTTTCAAAGTCTGTCCTGGCCAAAGATTAAAAACTAAAATTATCTGGAAGAGTAAATAGAACACATCTTTAAAATGATCCTACATATATATTTTCTTCAGTTGAGATTATTACAAATTGAGCTAAAACATACTAACATTCTATGGAAAAATCTAGTTCTCTTATCTATAGCTTTCCACATTTTTTTTTTATTATTGACTCAGAGGATGCAGTATTCTTTGTCTTCTTGCAAAATGACTTGTTCTCCTTTGCTCTTAATTCTTTTTGTTTCCAATTCTAGAATCCCTTACGCCTCTGTGGTTTAAATATTATCCACTTCACTACCTCTTTTTCTCAGCTTATACTTTCCATCCTGAGACACACAAACACACTTCTTTTGGATGTGTGATCATGTGGTTCATGCAGTTATTTCTCCTGTTGGCAGACTGCTTCCCTAGGCCTGTGGAGACTTAGGTTCAAATCTTGGCCCAGCAACTTACTAAGTGCATGTTATGGGCAGGTTTCTTAATCTCTTTGGCTTTAATTGTTTATAAATGGGAATTATAATAATACTTATCCCATAGGAATATTGGGAGGGTTCAATGCATATAGTAAGTGCTCCATAAATGATAAGTATTGTTAATAATTGTTAGCTGTAGAAGTCCTTCCCACCTGAAAAGGCCTTGGGATATGTTGGCTGTATTCATTGATTGCCTTTTTAGTTTGACATATGAAACCAATGAGATAAAAGAGAATATGCCTGGTTTGGGTTCATACAGTTAATCCTTCTCTTTGGTAAAACCCTTAAACACTGTAATAAGGCAAACAGCTTATTTTGCCTTTATAAAAGGGAACAGCTTTTGTAATGCCGCATAAATATACTAACAATTCTTAAAAACCAATAATTAAGAAAACAGAAAATATCATGAAGAACATGAAGAGGCAGTTGGAAGAAATGAAGGTGGCCAGTAAATATTTTAAAATATTAATGTCAAAAAGAAAAAGACTGTTCAGATTTGCAGTTACATTTTTTAGGTGTATTTTGAATTGGTGGGTAATGACCATCTTTTATAAGAAGATTCCAAATAATTAGTTCACACATGCATTTTGTCTATGTAGTAGAAATCTGGAGATCAAGCAGTTGTGGTCTGCAAGTGGAATACTCGTAGCTATCAAAAAATTCATAATAGCTCTTGTCAGATATGAAAGCCAAATGTTTTGGACTATCAAATAGAAATAGACTGCCTCTGTTCCTGGGCTTGCAGTCCCAAATTCATTCTACAATACGGATATAAATCTAGTCCATGGCAATTTTTATTTATGTGTGAATAGACTAAGCTAGAAAAGCAGCTAGAAAAATTTTTCTACGACAATAATAGCTTTATTATGTGCCAGGTGTATTATGTTATAAACTTTACATAGCTTATTTCATGTAATCATTATCAGAAGCTTGTAAAGTAGATATTATTATTTTAGTTTTTACCAAGGAAGGAAGTAAAGCACAAAGGTTAAGAAGTTGGCATAACTTCATGTATGACGTGTATATTAAAGCCAGAATTCAAACCATACAACCTGACTCTAGGACCACACCATGATACTGTACAGACTGAAGCCCACTCATGAATGAAGGAATGCAATTGACTGTTCATATTATTTGTTCATTTTATATTAGTCTTTTTTCTACTTGATTTTAGGGAATTTTAAGAATGCCTGTTTTAGCATTAAGATTTATATAGATACCTTTGCCTAATCTATCACTTTTATGTTGTTTTGTATCTTTTGTTGTATAGACACTTTAAATTTGGATAGTTACATTTAGCATATTATAAATATGGGCCATATACAATAAGAATTCAGTCAATATACAGCATCAGTATTTAATAGTCCTTTCTTTCATGAATTGCCAATGTTGGTCTTTTCTAAGATAGCTTTTTTTTTTTTTTAAGTTTATTTATTTTGAGAGACAGTGCATGCAAGCAGGGGAGGGGCAGAGAGAGAAAGAGGGAGAGAGAGAATTCCAAGCAGGCTCTGTGCTGTCACCACAGAGCCCGACATGGGGCTCAATCCCATGAACTGTAAGATCATGACCTGAAATGAAATCAAGAGTTGGATGCTCAACCAACTGAGCCACCTAAGCACCCCATTCTAAGATAGCTTTCATAATGTTAGGTTATAGAGATAGTCTGTTTTCAAAAGAAAACAGACCATTTTTGCATGTAGACCAGTTGTTCCAACACCGTTGTTAAATAGATATTTCCTTTGTGATGCCACCTTTATCGTGTACATGCTTAATTGTTTCTAGGCTCTTTATTCTCTTTCTTTATTCTATTTGTCTACATCTATACCAGTACTATACTTCTGTGTGTGGGTGTGTTTACATTGTTTTAATTACCATAATTTTAAAATAACCCTGTTACATAGGCAAGGATTTCCCCATCTCCCACCACACACCACACATATGTTGTTCATAGTCTTTTAGAAATTTCTTAGCTACTTTGGAACCCCTGTGGTTCCACTTGAATTTTATTTATTTTTTATTTTTTTAAGTTTTTTTTTTAATGTTTTATTTATTTTTGAAAGAGAGAGAGAGCAAGTCGGGGACGAACAGAGACGGGACAGAGGACCAGAAGCAGGCTCCATGCTGACAGCACAGAGCCCAATCCACGGCTCAAACCCATAAACCCCCGTGCTACCACATTTATTTACTATAATTCTATATGCCTAGTCATGTAAAAAGAAAAAAATGTGAGATACAAATTGGGAAGGTGTGTGCAAAATTATGATATCTAGATGATACAGTTATGGACGTGGGCAGCTGAAGAGAAATAATAGAACTCAATCTCATATGGACACAAAATTAATTTATATAAAACCAATAGCATTCTATATATAAATCACAACCAGCTCAAAAATAAAATGGAAGAGGGGCACGTAGGTGGCTCAATCAGTTAAGCATCTGACTTGGTTTCAGCTCAGGTCATGATCTCACAGTTTGTGAGTCTGAGCTCTGCATCAGGCTCTATGCTGACAGTGTGGATCCTGCTTGGGATTCTCTCTCTCTCTCTCTCTCTCTCTCTCTCTCTCTCTCTCTCTCTCTCAATAAATAAAATAAATAAACTGAAAATAAATAAAATGGAAGATAGTAAAAGTAGAAAAAAAACCATAATGAAAAAAATATGGGAGAAAAAAACTTAAAATATTAATGTGGCCTAAAAGAGGATTTCAATACATTTTTAAAGCATATGTTTTGGATAAGATCCATCACTATTAAACCAATTTAATTTTAAATTAATCTTTAGACTTAGTAAAGATTCTAAATATTTTTCTTAGAATAAGGCAAGTCTATTCAAACTGAGTCTAGAATATATTTGAAAAGTAAGGATATAAAATAGCCAAGAAGAAATATGAAAAAATGTTGTGTGTCATGCTCTAAGTTCTTAAAGGAATATTTAATATTTGTGTAATCTTTTTTTTTTTGAGTTTTAAACTATTTACACTTTATTTTTTTTTCAATGTATGAAGTTTATTGTCAAATTGGTTTCCATACAACACCCAGTGCTCATCCCAAAAGGTGCCCTCCTCAATACCCATCACCCACCCTCTCCACCCTCCCACCCCCCATCAATCCTCAGTTTGTTCTCAGTTTTTAACAGTCTCTTATGCTTTGGCTCTCTCCCACTCTAACCTCTTTTTTTTTTTTCCTTCCCCTCCCCCATGGGTTTCTGTTAAGTTTCTCAAGATCCACATAAGAGTGAAACCATATGGTATCTGTCTTTCTCTGTATGGCTTATTTCACTTAGCATCACACTCTCCAGTTCCATCCACGTTGCTACAAAAGGCCATATTTCATTCTTTTCATTGCCACATAGTATTCCATTGTTGGTGGGAATGCAAATTGGTGCAGCCGCTCTGGAAAGCAGTGTGGAGGTTCCTCAGAAAATTAAAAATAGACCTACCCTATGACCCAGCAATAGCACTGCTAGGAATTTACCCAAGGGATACAGGAGTACTGAGGCATAGGGGCACTTGTACCCCAATGTTTATAGCAGCACTCTCAACAATAGCCAAATTGTGGAAAGAGCCTAAATGTCCATCAACTGATGAATGGATAAAGAAATTGTGTAATCTTTAAAAAAATTTTTTTTTAACATTTATTTTTGAGAGACAGAAAGAGACAGAGCATGAGCAGGGGAGGGGCAGAGAGAGACAGGGAGACACAGAATCCGAAGCAGGCTCCAGGCTCTGAGCTGTCAGCACAGAGCCCGATGCGGGGCTTGAACCCACAAACTGTGAGATCATGACCTGAGTTGAAGTCAGATGCTTAACCAACTGAGCCACCCAGGCGCCCTGTTCTGTAATCTTTTTAAAGTTTATTTATTGGGGCACCTGGATGGCTCAGTTGGTTGGGCGTTAAAACAATAAGCGTTAAAAAAATATAACTAATCAATTAATTAAAGTTTATTTACTTTGAGAGAGAGAGAGAGTGAGCATGAGGTGGGGAGAGCAGAGAGAGAGGGAGAGAAAGAGAATCCCAAGAAGTATCCATGCTGTCAGTGCATAGCCCAACTTGGGACTTGAACTCACAAACCACGAGATCATGACCTGAGCCAAAATCAAGAGTCGCACGTTTGACTGAGCCACCCAGGTATCCCTAATATTTGTGTAACTTTAGGAAAACATAATTTTTTAGAAAAAGTTGCCAGCATCATATATACTACAGAAGTGACATGCAATTGCCTTTATGCCTTTATTGTAAACTTTGTCATTTTTTAAAAAGATTTGTCCTATTAAGTATCTTTAAAATGGAGAGGAAAGTGCTGTGGTACCAGCAAGAACTTTGGAGATGTTAAATCTTGTTGCCAGGGCTATGGGGATACCCATCTTTTTTTTTTTTTTTTTTTTTTTTTTTTTGACAGGAAAAGGAATAAAACTTAATGACACAAAATTTGTGGGATTTTTTTGTTTGTTTTTGTTTTGTTTTTTGAGGGAGAGAGAGTCTGAGAGAGACTCAGGGAGGGGCAGAGGGACAGGAACAGAGAATCTTAAGCAGGCTCCACACTGGGCTCTATCTCACTGCTGTGAGATCATGACCTGAGCCGAAATCAAGAGTTGGACGCTTAACCAGACTAAACCACCCGTGTCCCATGACACAAACTTTGAATTTATGTTTTTTAAGGTTCAATCTCTTTGTTCCTTGCTACTAATATGGCATTTTTAACATATATATGTAAAGAGAGTTGACATCTTAGGAAAGTAGACTATTTTAAAGCACTGACTCATCTTTTTATACAGTCAGAAATTAACCCATATTTATTTCAAGGTCTTTTGTTACTTGTTTTATGTTTTTTCAGGAGTGTGATCTTCATTTGTTTTTTTTTCCTCTGTGAGATTTATGCTCATTTACTAGATTTAGTGGAAAAGATGTTTTGATGCTAATTTATTAGAACTCATGAAAAATGCATTTTCTCTTTTGTTGTTTTTCCTTATCTTTGTTAAACTTTATATTCCTTAGGGATTATATATTCCTAAAACATTTATTGAATGATTACTGGGTCCCATGCTTAGTTCTGAGTGCTTCTCATTTTTTGTCTCCTTTAGTTCTTACGTCAACCTGTTGAGGAAAATGACACTTTACAGATGAGGAAACTGAGACTCAAATTTGGCTATTGTTGAGGTCACACAATTAGTAAATTTTGAAGCCAGTAAATTTTGATGTCAGACTCTACAGCCTCACTGTTAACCAGGAAAAATGTCTAAATCGAGCTCTACTTTGAGAACCTAGTACTTTGAAAATTTTTTCCATTTAGGTATGTGTTAATTAGATATCTATTCTGCTTTTCTGCTTCTGTTATCATGCTTGGCATCTGTAGGTTGACTATGTGGGTTTGGGGCTCTGCTTTGGGATGCAGGTCAACTGGTCTTGCCAGATCACTAAAGTACATGAACGAAGTCAAGTGAAGAGCTTGCCCCAGGAAACTGCTGCCCTTTCACCTGAATGAATACATGAGGAGCAGACTTGAGGCTACCCAACAGCTCAAGTCGAGGCTGTGAATTGTCTTTTCACTTTCTTGATGATGGCCTTGAAAGCACAAAATTTTTATATTTATCTAATGTCCATTTTTCCCCCTTTTGTTGCTTATGCTTTTGGTGTCATATCAAAAAATCCATTGCCTAATTCAAGATTACAATTAACACCCATTAACATTGTCATAATATCTCTATTTTTATTTCAGCTCCTTCAATTCTTTTTCATTTGTGCCTTTGGTTTTACTTTGTATCGTGTATACAATACATTGAGTATAGTGTTTAGATTAAATCTTCATTCTCCATCTCCATATTTGTCATCATCTTACAAAATTGAGTATAGTTTTTAGATTAGATCCATTCTCCATCCTCCATATTTGTCATCCTCTTTCAACATTTTCATCTCTTTGTTATTTTACTTTGCATCCTAGGAAAGCTTCTTAGTTCTCATGTCCATGGTCACATTGACAGCTCTGTCCTTTATACCCTCCAATATCTATTAAAAAATATTTTTCATCTCCTGGGTATTTTAATTCTGTAGTTGAATCTCTGTTATGTTGGCATTCCTTGATCTTGCCCATTTCCTTTTTCATCTCATCCCTGTTTTACGTTTCAGCCAGATCTCTCCTTCAGCATAGAGCTTCCCTCCTCTCTCCAAACACACCTCCCTGTATTCACCAACCTGGAAGCTCCTACACCTATGTTTTCTTCTAAAAGTTGTATAGTTTTAATTCTTAGCTTTAGGTCTTTGATTCACTTGGAGTTAATTTTTGTACCTGGTATGAGGTAGGGATTCAACTTCACTGTTTTGCATTTAGATAATCTGGTTGCTCCAGCACACGTGTTGAAAAGACTATTCTTTTCCCCAGTGAATTGTCTTGGCACCTTTGCCTAAAATCACTAAAATGTGAGGGTTCATTTCTGAAATCTCTGCTTTATTCACATTGATCTCATATGTCTATACTTATGCTAGTACCGTAACTGTCTTGATTATTGTAGCTTTATATTATGTTTGAAATTGGGAAGTGTTGAGTCCTCCAGGTTTGTTTTTTTTTTCTTTTTCATGATTGTTTTGACTGTTCTGTGTCCCTTGCATTTTTATAAGAATTTTATTAGGATCACCTTCGCCATTTCTGTAAAAAAAAAAAAAAAAGGCAACTGGTATTTTGATAGGGACTCCATTGAATTTGTAGATCAGTTTGAGGTGTATTGTCATCTAATATTGTTTTACAATCCGTGCACATGGGGTGTTTTTCTTTTTTTTAGGTCTTTAAAATGTCTTTCAATAATATTTTATAATTTTCAGAATGTAAGTTTGACAAGTATTTGTTAAATTTGTCCTTAAGTATTTTATTCTTTTTGATGCTATTGTAAATGAGATTGTTTTCTTAATTTTATTTTTTGTTTATTATTTTGAGACAAAGGGAGAGAGTGCAAGCACATGAGCAGTGGAGGGGCAGAGAGAGAGAGAGAGGGAAAGAGAGGGAGAGAGGGAGAATCCCAAGTAGGCTCCCCACTGTCAGCATGAATTCCAATACGGGACTCGAAATGACAAAGCATGAAATCACAACCTGAGCCGAGATCAAGAGTCAGACGCTTAATTGACTGGACCACTCAGATGCCCCTTTATTTCATTTTTGGATGTTCTCTACAAGTGTCTAGAAATACAGGTGAGGTTTTTGTGTTGATCTTATATCCTGCAAACTCGCTGAGTTGTTTATTAGTTCTAATAGAATTGTCGTGGATTCCTTAGATTTTCTATATACAAAATTATGCCATATGAAAATAGTTTTATTTTTTCCTGTCTAATCTGGATGCCTTTTATTTCATTTTCTTGCCTGATTACTCTGTCTAAAACATTCATCACAATGTTGAATAAAAGTGTACATCCTTGTCTTGCTCCTGACCTTAACAGGAAAGCATTTAGTCTATTACCATTTATTGTTAGTTGTAGATTTTCTGTAGATGCTTTATATAGAATTGAGGAAGTTTCCCTTTTTTGCTAGTTTGTTGAGTGTTTTTATCATGAAAAGATGTTGGAGGTTTTTTTTTTTCATGTTTATTTATTTTTGAGAGAGAGAGCACAAGCAGGGGAGGAGCAGAGAGAGAGAGAGAGATAGAGAGAGAGACAGAGAGAGAGAGACAGAATCTGAAGCAGACTCCTGGCTCTGAACTATCAGCACAGAGACCAATGCAGGGCTCAAACCCACGAACTATGAGATAGTGACCTGAGATGAAGTCCGACGCTCAATGGACTGAGCCACCCAAGTGCCCCCAAATTTTGGGTTTTGTTAAGTGCTTTTTCTGCATCTGTTGAGATGATCATGTGGTTTTTGTTCTTTATTCCGTTGATACCATGTATTTCATTAATTGACTTTCAGGTGTTAAACCAATATTGCATTCCTGGGATAAATCCTTCATAATCATTTTTATATATTTTTGTCTGTTTTTAAAAAAAAAATCATGTTTATTTATTTTTGAGAGAGAGAGAGAGCATGAGCAGGAAGGGACAGAGAGAGAGGGAGACAGAGAGTCCGAAGCAGGCTCCAGGCTTTGAGCTGTCAGCACAGAGCCCGATGTAGGGCTCAAACCCACGAACTGTGAGATCATGACCTAAGCCAAAGTCGGACACTTAACTGACTGAGCCACCCAGTCACCTCTATTTGTTTTTAAAGAGCAGTTTTTGGTTCATAGCAAAGTTGTAAGTATAGAGATTTCCCATATACTCCTTGTCCCCATGCATGTACAGCCTGCATGACAGAATATTATCAATATTCTCCACCAGAATGGTTGGTACATTTATTACAATTTGTGGACCTATATTCCCCAAACCTATAGTTTACATTGGGGTTCACTCTTGATTTTGTGCAGTTGATGGAATTAGACAAGTTTATAATGGCATGTACTCATCATTATAGTATCATACAGAGTATTTTCACTGACTTAAAAATCCTCTGTTTTGGGGCGCCTGGGTGGCGCAGTCGGTTAAGCGTCCGACTTCAGCCAGGTCACGCTCTCGCGGTCCGTGAGTTCGAGCCCCGCGTCGGGCTCTGGGCTGATGGCTCAGAGCCTGGAGCCTGTTTCCAATTCTGTGTCTCCCTCTCTCTCTGCCCCTCCCCCGTTTATGCTCTGTCTCTCTCTGTCCAAAAATAAATAAACGTTGAAAAAAAAATTTAAAAAAAAATCCTCTGTTTTCTATTCATTGCTCGTCTCTCCTCCACCAACTGCTGGCAATCAATGATCTTTTTACTGTCTCCATAGTAGTTTTGCCTGTTTCAGAACATCACATAGTTAGAATCATACAGTATATAGCCTTTTCAGATCAGCTTCCTTCACTTAGTAATATGCATTATAAGGTTCCTCCCTGTCTTTTCATGGCTTGATAGCTCATTTCTTTTTAGTGCTGAATGATATTCCATTATCTGAATATACCACTGTTTATTTATCCATTCACCTACTAAAGGACATTTTGGTTTCTTTTAAGTTTGGTAATTCTGAATAAAGCTGCTATAAACATCTGTGTTCCCAGGGCGCCTAGGTGGCTCAGTTGGTTAAGCATCCAACTCTTGATCTTAGCTCAGGTCTGACAGTGTCTACCCTTTTTTTTATTATTATTATTGTTTAATCCATTTACTACTAATGTTAACACTAAAATTGTTGGATTTATGTTTTCTATGTTCGTGTCTTTTTTGTTTCTCCTTTACTGCTTATTTTTTCCCTTAAGTAAATGTTTTCTACTATAAAATTTTAACTTTTTAAATTATTTTTGACTATATTTTTCTCTGTGCTTGTTCTAGGGCCTATCATATACATTTTAACTTACAAGAATCTTCAAGTTTATGCTAAATTCCAGTAAGATATAGAGACATTACTCTAGCTCTATTCTCTCTTCTGTTTTCTGTATTATTATTGTTACGTGTATTACATCCATGTTAAAAACCCAATGCATTTCATATTATGTCTTTTTTTTTAATGTTTATTTATTTTAAGAGAAAGAGAGTGAGCAGGGTAGGGGCAGAGAGAGAGAGAATCCCAAGTCCATGCTGTCATGCTGTCAGCACAGAGCCTGACACAGAACTCAATCCCATGAACTGTGAGATCATGACCTGAGCTGAAATCAAGAGTTGGATCCTACCCAGGTGTCCCATTCTAGTTTTCATCATTTGTTCATATGGGTTGGAGTTCCCAACGGGTGTCATTTGCCTTACTCCAGTATAACTTTGCTTTCAAGATTTTCTCTTTGTCCCTGGCCTTCAGCATTTTTGCTATGATTTATCTGGATGTGTGTGTGTATGTGTATGTTTTTACTTGGAGCTCATTTAGTTTCTTGGATTCATAGAGTATTTTTCATCAAATTTGGATACTGTTCAGCTATTTCTTGGCATGTTTTTTAATACCTTTATCTTTTTCTTGTCCTTTTAGTACTTTTACCATGTGTATATTGGTATACTTGATGTATATATTTGATAGTGTACTTGATGTCCCACATTTCTCTGAGGTTCCGTTTATTTTTCTTCATACTTTCTCCTGTTTGGTCCTCAGATTGTGTAATCTTGTTTTAGTCTACAAGTTTGCTAATTCTTCATTTTGCCAATTTAGATCTTGTCTAGTGAATTTCTCACTTCGGTTATTGTACTTTTTAATTTCAGAATTTGGCTCCTTTTATAACTCTGTCTCTTTATTCATCTGTTTCTGATGAGACATTCTCACTGTACTATCCTTTTTTTTTTTTTTAAGTTTTTGTTTTAATCACCTGGTACTCATCATGACAAGTGTACTCCTTAATTCCCATCACCCATTTTACCCATCCTCTACCTACCTTCCCTCTGGTAACCATCAGTTTGTTCTCTATAGTTAAGAGTCTATTTCTTGGTTTGCACTCTCTCTCTTTGTTTTTTCTCTTTGCTCATTTTATTCCTTAAATTCCACATATGACTGAAATCATACGGTATTTGTCTTTCTCTGACTGAATTATCTCACTTAGCATTATACTTTCTAGACCATCCATGTTATGGCAAGATTTCATTCTTTTTTATAACTAAATTACATTCCAGCATATGTGTGTGTGTGTGTGTGTGTGTGTGTGTGTGTGTGTGTGTGTGTGTATACACACACACACACACGTATATATGCATGCGTATGTGTGTGTGTATACATGCTGCCATGTCTTGGCTATCATAAACAATGCTGCAATAAACATAGGGGTGCATGTATCTCTTTGCTTTTTGTTTTGTTTTTTTGTTTATTTTTAAGTAGGCTTCACACCCAGTGCAGAGACCAGTGCGGGGCTGAAACTCATGACCCTGAGATCAAGACCTGAGCTGAGATCAAGACTCAAATGCTTAACTGACTAAGCCACTCAGGTGCCCCAGAGGTGCATGTATCCCTTTGAATTAGCATTTTTGTGTTCTTTGGGTAAATACCCAATTGTTTAATTGCTGGATTGTAGGACAGTTTGATTTTTAACTTTTTGAGGAACTTCCATACTGTTTTCCAGAGTGGCCACACCAGTTTGCATTCCCACTAATAGTGTAAGAGGGTTCTCCTATCTCTACATCCTCACCAACACCAGTGGTTTCTTGTGTTGTTGATTTTAGCCATTTTGACAAGTGTGTGGTGATCTTTCTTTGTAGTCTTTTCATTGTAGTCTCCTGCCCATTTTTTAATTGGATTATTTGGTTTTGGGGTATTGAGTTTTATGTTTTTTATATATTTTAGATACTAACCCTTTATCAGAGATGTTATTTGCAAATATATTTTCACATTCCATGGGTTGCCTTTTAGTTCTGTTGATAGTTTCCTTTGCTGTACAGAAGCTTTTTATGTGGCTGTAGTCCCAATACTTTTATTTTTGCTTTTTTTTTTTTTTTGGAGGTGTAGGTGAATTTTTCTTGGGCAGTTGTCAACTTGAACAGCAACAAATGAAAATTGAAGGAAACTTCTTGTTGTCACAGCTAGACAAGTCCTCCATCATATATGATAAGGGAGGCATTTCAATTTGTGACCCCGAGCACAGAAATGCCAAATACTAATCTAATACTAACTTCTGGATTGTCTAATCTAATACTTCTGGATTCCTACCGAAAACAAGTACATTAAGAGTGTGGAAAAGTTGCTTACTGAAAGGAAACCCCTGAAGGAGAGTAAGGGAGGGAAAGTAGAAATTAAGTTATGTAGAACACTTATAAAGTGTAATGAACTACATTTTCTTTTTTTTTTTTTTTTAAGTATATTTCTTTAGAGAGAGACAGAGACAGTAAGAGTGAGAGAGGAGCAGAGAGAGGGAGAAAGAAAGAACCTCAGGCAGGCTCTGCACTGTCAGTTCAGAGCCTGACGTAGGGCTCAAATTCACGATCCATGAAATCATTACCTGAGTGGAAACCAAGAATCGGATGCTTAACTGACTGAGCCACCCAGGCGCCCAGCATCTTCATATCTTCATAGTAATATAAAAGACAGTCACTTGCAGAACTGGTTTGGATTACTTAAATACCAAATACATTTTTAGTCCTCTACATAAGTGTTTGAGTGTTATCAATGTTTATATGAAATGAACCTATTAATACTTTTCTACAGCAGTAACTGCACAGCAAGAACACCAAGACAAACACAATCAAGGAATGGAGTTTTCCCAAAGCTGCAGTGTGAAAAGACTATAAACAGTTGATTC